ATACAGGTTGAAAATGCACAGAAAATCTGAATTCTAAATCTGGGTTTGTAGTAGTAAAGATATGCTGCTGAAAAGGAGTTTTCAACTTTCGAAAGTTGAAAACAGGCTGATATAAAGCCTGTATACATTAATATATAGAGACGTTATACCTTAAATAGGTGTAAAAAATATGAATGGCAGGTTAACGTACATGGACGCGAATTTCAGATAAAATACAGGAATAAACAATGAATACGTGCATAGGATACAACCCGTATATATTGGTGTACATTTTTTGGGCAACGATATACAATTGTTAAACAAGTTAAAAAGTGGTACAGGTACAAATACGCCGATAATATGGGAAATACAGGGTGAATCGTGAGAACTCGTATTCGAACAAATGTACAGGGATCAAAAAATCCAAAATGGACTGGATATGCACAGTGTACATCAATTCGTATACCCTATTGCTTGTCCAGGAAATTGGGCCAAGGCCCTTCAGCAGTTTTTTTAATATACGCCCAAAGACCAATGTTTCGTTTTGCAGTATTTAATACTTGAGAAAGGCCAACCATAAATAGTTCAACATAGGACAGGCCTAAAGTCAAATATTATCTTTCCTCGCTCTTTATTATTTGTTTGAATTAATAATGTTTTTGTGGAATTTTAATAATCTCCTAAAAGGCAGCCGTTTTTCATTATTTTAAATTTTACTATTTTATTTACTAATTTTGTTTTATTTACTTTTATCACCATTTAGTTTTCCTTAAGTTAATTTCCTCTAAATATTTCCCTTTAGAAGTAAAAATTAAAATAAAAAAATATTAAACGAATTTTCTCTTTACTTAGTTAAAAATTTTATTTTAAAAGTCAATTAGTCAAATCGCCGGTCAACCGCAAGTTAGTGGGCATCCCGAGGGCCTAACACCTTCTCGGGATGTACATTGAACTTCGGACCTTTTTTCAATTGATTTTATCGGTTTTTAAATCTTTTGAAAATTTTTCTTGATTTTATCAAAAATCAAGTTGCGACTCCGTAATTTGGAAAGTCAATTTTTCTTAAATAATAAGATTAATTGACTTTTTGAAACCTAGTCATCTTCACACCATTTTTAAACCAATAGTAGTATTTTTAAAGTAAAACAGTCATATTTTCTTATATGGTAAGTATTTAAAAGTATAATTTTTCTTTTATCCTTATTGGTCCCACTTAATTTTCTAATACATTTATAAGTAGAGAGAAAAGTGAGTTACTTTTTTGAAGGACGATTTGATAAACAACAAAATCTTCTTTATTTTTTAAACTCCGTGTCGGGTCAAATGTTGTCACATAAAATGAGACGGAGGTAGTAATAATTAACAATATACATGAAAATAATAGCACATTAACAATAGATATGAAAAACGCTTCCCCGGCAGTGTAAAGGAAAAAAAAAGTCCATCAGACTTAAAATTGATTTTTTTTTTTTAAAAAAGTTTTTGGAAAAAATCGCTGCCATAGCAGTGATTTTTAGTTTTAACCGCGTCATTGTATCTGACGAAATCGCTTTGCCAAGAGCGATTTTCCCCTTTTGGTTTTAAAAAAATTGATTTGCCTTAGCTTTTTGGAATTTTTTACAATTTTTTTTTTTGCACTTTAGCTCCGAACTCTTTGAAAGACAAGGACAAATAATGACCTTTAGGAAGAAGGAAGAGACCACCTAATAAAGATTTTCAGCAACTTAATCTAATTTGAAATATTTCCGCCCTTGATTTTCTCTAGTTTGTTAGTTCCTAACTATATTATGTTAAATTAAATAAAGAAAAAATATATATAAATCAATCCATAAAAAACTAAAATATTGTCATTTTCTATAAATATTCAAAGTATTGCTAAGAGATCTATTAAATGTCAAAATATTGTTATTTTGAAAATTTCTCGGGCCTCCCAATATTTGGTTGTCTCTGGCCCAATTTGATTGTCTATTAATTTTATTGATTTTTATAAGTGAAAATGTTTATTTATTTTTATTGATACATACGTAAATAATCACATGTGTCTTAGTTTTCCACTTTCTATAAGTTCTTACTTTGCTCTTCATCTTCTCATTTTCAATTTTGGGAAACTGTTGTTGCAATTAATCAAGTTCTTACTTTCTTTTTCATTCACTCAAAGTTTCTCATTTTCCATTTTCTGAATGTTGCTTCAATTCTAAGATATTCCTTTGTCCTTTGTTAATCTTATATCTTATCAGTTTTTCTTCAAATTTTCTTTGCGACCATAGTGGAAACCAAAATGGAACTCCATACCTTCATTTTTTTCATCAGACTTTTGTGAGCAAGAGAAAAATAAAAATAAGAGTTTTGACTCATGCAACTGAAAGTTTTTGTTTTATGTGTTTAGAATAAGGTTTTGATTTTTAGTATTGAAAGAGAAAATTGGACAATATTATTGTGTTTACATGTTTCTTCATCCAAGTTCTTGCTCTTCTTGAACTCTCTAGGTATATAAATTTGACGTAATATGTTGGATTTTTCTTTTCGAATTTTTTCCTCTTTTTGAACTCTCTACGATATATGAATTTGACGTAATTTGTTAGATTTTTCTTTTTTGAATTTCAGATAACTATAAACTGTAAGTTGCCCATATATAAGTGTTTTTGTTTGTTTTAGCAGGGTTTTCAGGTGGATTAATCTATTTGATCTATGTGATTTACAAGAATAATGTTGAAGGTGGGGTGATGCTAAGCTTTTTACAAAATTTTGCGGGAAAGCGTAAGCCTGGGGTTAAAAGTTCAAAGATGATCATTTTTTTTATCCAAATGATTTTTACGATAGAAGTTTTGGAGGTGGATGATACTGAATTTTTTGCCTAACTGTGTAGTAGGAAATGTGATCAATAATTAAGCCGAGTCAAAAATTGAGAGTTGAGTAAATGGATATAGTGGGTCTGTGAGAAATATTTAGGATGAGTTTTTTTTAAAATTTTTGGTGTGTGAGCTTTTATATCTTGTTTCTAGAACTAATATAATTTCTATAGTGATAGAACTTTAAATGTTGGTTAAGAGTGTGCATAGTTGTATGTCACGGACTTAGAGTTTTGAAAACTCTGTTAAAGAAAGACTATGAAATATTTAGAGAGTTTTTGGCTTGGGCCTTGGAGAATGTTTTAATACTTGAGTGATTGTTTGCTTCAAGCTTGGGTGTCTTACAAATGAATGCCCCATCTATTTATACTACAACTTAGGAGCTAAAGTTGAATTAAAAATTACTTTACAAGTCCCTAAAGTATTTACACTTTTATTCATGTTCCAGAATTCTCTACTAGTTTAGAGAACTCTAAGGCTTTCTAAGACATCTTTCAAGTTATTCTAGAGTCCTCTAAAGAAAGATTTAAGAATTTCTATAGTCTTCTTGAAAGTGTCTAGAAAATTCTAGAGTGTTCTAGTAACCTCTTCATAACTCTAGATTCTTCTCCTTATTCCAGTGCCGAATTTGACTGGCAAAATGGCAGGACATGACACATAGCTCCTTTGACTGTAACCATTTTCTCAAAATTGGGCATCTGACTCGTATTGGTTGATTGAATACTAGCTTAAATAAGGGGCTAGCTAGCTAAAGTTAATTTATTATTGTTTACGGTTGACTGCTTTGCGTCTTTGTACTTTTTGTATCACGTGAACTCTAAAGCTATCTTTTTTGGTTGTTCAAATTACCTGGCTTGTCCAATGGGCGACACACTCAACAAGTTTTGCCTAAAGGGGGAAAGCTGGGTCAAAAATTAAAAATTGAGTGAATGGATATAGTAGGTTTGTGAAAACTATTTAGGATGGTTGTTAGTCAGACAATTTAATTTTGGAAATAAATTTAAATTTGTAATCATATTTGATGGATCTTTGATGCTGCAATTGAGGGCTTACTATTAATAAGTGGGTGAGTAGCGTTCAATTCTCTTTTCGTGTTTTTTTATCTCATTTTCTTTTTTGTGGAATGTAATTGTTAAAAAATTTAATTTTAATTCTTCGTCGACTTACTGATTTCTGGTTATTGCGACTAATAAAAGTTCATACTTACAAGTACAATGCTAATGGGGAACTCGATTAGTTTAATTAGCTTGATCATCATGATCCTATGTTTCAAAATAGAGCCTGACATGATATGCATAACTTCAATTTAACATGACGCTAAATAAGAAAGTATAGAGATTGAGTATACGGTAGAAGAGTAAAAGGGCTGAGTTAAACCTCACTAATGAGGAAAATAGAAGAGGCTAACTCCTCCTAATGAAATTTCATCGTCGCGCAGTTTCTTATTGTAATCATGTGTATTACTATTTATTACTTTATTTATTGGTTTTAGATACTCAATGAACAGTTATATTGATTAATGTAGATGATTTAACTGGACAACATATGTCTGTTGTATGTACTACTAATAATATATATTAAGCTTATGTAGTAGTCGTACTGTACTCAATTAACTCACCAAGCTGAATTGTTGAGTAGCATTTTGACATTGTACGATATAATTTTCAATTCCACATCTTACTAATTTGATAGTGTTGGACCCGTGCTAAACACGTGCTATCCCCATTTAGTATATATATATAGAGAGAGAGATACACTTTCAAGGAAAGAGTTCTATTGACGTTGAGAGTATTTATGAAAAGTCAGCAATCCATAACGCACAAAAATCACTCAAAGAAACTTGTGTTTTATTTTATCTACATTATTTAACTCAAAATTATACTTTAATAATATCAATATTATCTCGTAATACCTTATACTACATAACTAGGAATTCACGTGCAAAGAACATGTCGAAAAATTAATTTTTTACTTACTATGAAGAACTAATCTGTAATTGAATATTCCAATAAAAATATTAAAAACACAGAAGAAATTCTTTTTGAAGAGTAAGTTGATTTTTGAGGATAACCACTACTACTTCCCATTTATTAATATCATTAAAAGGGAAAAAATTAGTGTTCTATATCCATTGATGGTTGTTCTCCAAATATTTTCGGATCATAGTGAACATGTGTGTTTTTGTGATTGATCTAGTAAAACTATAAATTAAGCAGATCTAAAACTCATAAATCAAAACAATAAAAAAGAATTATATTGAAATATATTTTACTTTCTTCCTATTATCTTATTCTACTTTGAATAGAAAGATGCCTTATGGACAACTTGAAGTTTATATTGGATATGCAAGAGGCCTTGAAGATCAAAATTGGCTCAGTATTTTCCTCACCAACACATTTTCTTTAATTTATTCTAGTTCATACTTATATTTGTGATCGTATTTATAGATGATATTCTAATATGAAGTATATTGTGTGATCTAACTTTCAACATGTTATTGATTTGGATCATACAAATATGCACAACATATAATTAAAATACAAATACTAAAATTTCATGTTCTGAATCCGCTTGTTAATTCTAAAAATCAAATGAATCGATCAACTAATTTAATTATTTTTTTGGTTATATTTACAACAGCTGATATGAATCCATATGCGATCATTACTTGCCATACTGAAGAGAAGAAAACTAGTACTGCATCAGGTTAGTAGTACCTACATAGTTTTAACCTGTAACAAAACGGTCTTTTAACAACGTAAGCTTTTTATGATTGTCAATTCATCATATGATCTATTAACTAAATTCATATCTTATAGGTGAAGGAGAGGATCCTGAGTGGAATGAGTCCTTCTTATTCACTGTTTCTCGTAGTTGTGACGAGGTTCACATCAAGATTATGGATGAAAATACGATTGAAGATGATGATTTTATAGGAGAAACAACGTTAATAATCTCTCTATTTCCCTTCTCAACTACAAACATTAACTTTATATTATGTAAATAATATATAGTCTCTAATACATGGTTCTTTTTGATATTGAATTATCAACACATACTTCAATTAGAAGAAGTATTTCGCGAAGGAGAAGTTGAAGCAACCATGTATGACCTTTACAAGGATGATGAAAATTGTGGATCCGTCAAAATTGGCCTCACTTTTACTCGCGAGGAGGTAACATATATTATGTGTTCTTTAACAACAAAATCGATTATTCTTTTTGTAATTTTGAGTAGTAATTTATTTAAAAGAACTAGATCGGTCAAGATTAATATATTCTTCTCACTTGCAGAGGGATGAATATGACGAGGACTACTAGTTTACGCTGTCCAGTCCAAGAAGTTGAGTTTATGAGAGGGTCGTTGAGTTATCCATACAACAAGAAATAGTCCTAGGAATAAATTATGAAACCATATTGAAATGTTTGTTTCAATTATCAATTTCTTAGTTTTTTGTATGAATAACATATGCATTGGTTATGCTGTAATTTTTTGTATTTAATCGATATGAATTTAAAGTGAAATTGAAATATACGCGTTAGAAAATTCTACATTTATATCATCAATTTTTAATTAGTTGATTGTTGGTATGTCATCTCCCATGCATGTTTACTTCTAATTCTAATACATGTAGTATGCATTTTGAAATTAGTAAATTATTCCAAATTTAAGATGGTTGTAGTATTTCATATATTTGTAATAATATGAAACTATAACTAGCAATTAGTGTTACATAAATGGAAATTTTATGAATGTTAATGTTAGAAGTTATCTCATCTTCTAAATTCAATATTTCTTAAAGAGGCTCGCTATATTTTATTCACTCTTTTGGGGAAAATAACTTTCCAAAAATCTAACATCTCTTGATTCAGTTTCAGTTGTACTTCCATCTTCCTATTCACTCTTTAAATTGTTCAGCGTATCTTATAAAGATATATTTCTTTTATTTAAAATTAGTTAACCAAACTCACAAAGATGATCATATGTGCCGACAATCCCAAGATGGTAAACCATTCAACTTTGTTATATGACCAATCCAAAATTCATAAGTAGTCAAAGATACTGATCTATAAGGTTTTTTATTAAATATGTAGGATGCAATACCTAATGCATCTCCCTAGGAAGAGATAGACAAATTTTTCAGTCATGTTCAACAATATTCTACTCCTTTTAACTACACCATTTTATGGAGGTATACAAGGAATAGATAATTGTTTGATAGTATTCATTTTCGTACATAATTCTTCAAATAGTTTTGATAAATAATCACGTCTTCTATCGATTTTTAAAGTCTTTATACTTATATCTAATTAGTTTTCAACTTTATTCATATATTCTTTAAATCACTCAAGTGCTTCAAATTTTACAAGAAATCCAATAGACATAATCATGCATGGGTTACCCAGGACCAAAAATCTAACAATTTTAGACAAAGCCAAAACATATACGTAATAATCCAAAATCTAACAATTTTAGACAAAGGCAAAACATATACGTAATAATCCAAATGATATATTACTAGCCTCTCGCATATGTTTCCAGAGCTATGGTCCTTTCCCCCATTCAATCACATTGGGCTTTTGTGTTTTACAGTACTTGGTCCACGTATAGTTTGTCCATGGAGACCTTTTGGTCCTAATAATCTACTAGAGCTTACCAAATAATGGTTAGTTCACAACAAATAAAATATGTAAAACCGAATTCCCCTTCTTCTTTGGGTAACCACTTATTGGTCCAAGAAACCCAATGTTTGCATGCTTCTTCCCTTCCCAGAAGAACCTCATGTGCATATTATGAAGAATTCATTCACATATCGTCGAATAACTTTGAAATAAGTAGAGTAAACTTGACTTGAGGTGAGGAGAGTAGAGAAGAGGAAGGAGAGCAGAGAGGGCAACGTAACGATGTTCTAGGTTAGTTTGAAAAACGAAGTGAAAAAATCATGTTGGTTCCTATTACTAAGTTGGTGGACAAATTTGGGATTTGATGCACCACAAGCTTGGTCACACCCGATAGTAATTATGTTCTGAGATGCATCCTGTCGAACATCATCACAATGGGTCTCACACCGCGTCGTCCATCATGTGAGATTCATTCACTACTTGAATCAACTAGAGTGGAAAACACATGAATTGTGATAAGTATTATTACATCAACAAAGATTTTGATAATTGACAAATAGAGGAACATATGAACGAAACACGTTACGCGACATGTTCCCTTCAGACCGAATTCGACTTGAATAAGGAGAACGTCAATCAAGCGAATTACAACATACTTATATAAATGTTCTAAGAGTGTTATTTGTATAACCACAATTCTTCTTCATATATCTCTAATCATCACCCAATTTATGTGGACTCTTATATGATCATATGACTTGTGTAAACTTATTTAATTGATAAATTTTTAAAATATAATTTATTATTAATTAATTGTTGTCTTTTTCAAATCCCAGTGCTTTTGGTCTATATATAACTGTCATATCCCACTATATGCAGTATCGATAATGCATAACATAGACATAAACCCGAATATACCTTACTAATGTCAGAATGTAAATGTCGTTATCTTACACACACCACACACATAGATATGCATCGATAGTTTGAGAGGTTTATATAATTTGACAACCAGTACATATTTTCACATACACACTTCACAACGGTAACAATAGTTCAAATTACTTTGTCAAAGGTAACATCTGCTAATTTTTTAATATAAAATAAAGACAATACCTCATAAACAACTCAAAAATCTTTATTTTTACAATGTCTCAAACATCCAAAACAAAAAAGTCTTACAATTGTCATTGTGGTAAATCAACTACGTTGAGGACGTCACACACCGATACAAATCCATGTCGGAAATTCTTTAATTGTCCAGTTGACATATGCCTGTTTTTTAGGTGGTATGAAAATGAATCATCAACGAATAGCCCATCAAATTTTCAAGGCGTTGCCAAATTTGAGTTATTAACAAAGCTACAGAAATCCAAAGAACATAGGAATATGCTTATGACTTGCTTAAAAGAGGTTGAAAAGCAGATGAATCACATAAAAGTATTGCTAAAAGATGCTGAAATAGATAGAGAGTAACTAAAAAAGGGTTGACTTTGGCAGAAGAAAAAGAAAAACGCTTAAAAGCTTTACTATGTGATTTATTTTTTGTGTTTGCTTTTTGAAAATTTTTAACAAATGAGTAACAGAAATGTAGTGATAAATAAATAAATAAAGTAATTCTCTCTATTTGTTGAACTGTTATATCTATTATTTTTGATTTATCATATTGTGATAACAATTTATAGTATTAGACATACAAGTTTATTAAGACATAGATTAATAAGAAATTTAAAAACCCTTCATAATATAATATTTATTATCAGATGTACATTTTTGTCGTCAAAAACAACAAAACAACATACCACTTGAACCATCTTCTTAGAAACCAACTTGTAAAAAACATATTGTCTTAAAAAATCATAGAAAATGTCTTCAAACCAAGGAACAACCCAACTATCACAAAATCTAACTGTCTTAAAAAATGAACAACTTCACAAATTGTCTTAAAATAACATTGAATAACCATCCCAAAAATCACAACTGCCCTTAATCACCACCAACCTGACCAATAAGCTCCATCACAATATTCATCACGTCCATTTCAACTTCAGTGGTCATTCCTTCTTTTTCAAGCTTCTTCTCTTCTTCATTCTCTGTTATCTTCTCCTTTTGTTGTTCTTTCTCTCCTTCTCCATTTGCTTCATATTCTTCTACTTTCTCCTCTTTTTTTTCTTCCTTGTTCTCTTCCATCGTCTCCTCTATTGTTTCTCTTGTTCTTTCGTCTCCTCTTCATCAACTTCTTCAGCAAAGTATGCATCATTGCAGCAAGACCATCATCCACTATAGTTAATGGAAGGATGTTGTCATCCACTATTGGTGATGAAAAGTTGTCATCATCTACTTCAAGATCAGTGGCTAAGAATTAATACAACTACATTATATTACACAATTAATAAGTATATAAATTTATCTACCTTTGTTTTTCTTTTTCTTTTCATTTCTTTTCAACTTCTCCTCTCGTACAAAAGCAATGATTTCTACCATTGATTGCTCGAAGGATACAAAACGTTCACCCATGCTTCCATATTTAGAAGTACTTGGTGTAGAATTCTCCCCAAGTTGATTAAGAATGTGTTTGTTTGAATACTCATCCTCCCCATGACCTACTACAGAAGTGAGGACAGTGACCTTTCAAGCTGGCCTTTAAGACATTAATAAATGGGTCCTTCACTTCGTTCGTATATGGCTTTAATGTTGCCGTATTATTTTGTTTCTTCTCACAGATACTAGGTACTAGGGATGGATGCACAACCTAACAAAAAAATATAATTACTACAAGACCTTCACTAACTTACAAATATTGTTATATGGAAAAATAAATTTATACCTTTGTATACTTTAATATATCACCTTTGACAATGTTATCACTCTTTGTCGTGTTCCATCTAAGTAAACAGGAAATTGACAGTGGAGACTCCAAAGACCTCTTCGCATAAATATCAAGATGAGGAAAAATATCATATATCCAAACTTGAAATTAATGAAATAACAAATAAATGATGAAAATTAACAGAAACGCTCAAGGGAAGCCATACGAAGCATATGATGCATTCCTTTTTTCCTTGTTCACTCACATTGTTTCTTCAAATTCATTTTGGTCTTCAAATACTTCAGTGTTAAATCAAAACACTCTTTATCCCCACGAATAACTCTTGAAAACCTTTAAATCATCGGTCATCTTAATGTGGTTTGAACACAATCTTAGATTGATCGTAGGCAAGCAATATTGAGTGGACGAACCAAACAAAAGAGCACTTAAACTTCTACTCCTTATTCAATCTGGCACCCTTCATCAAACTCAATTACTTTGAACCATTACTATTCTTATTCCTTGTTACTTTATAGTAAAACTTATCACCTTTGTCAAGCACTTTTTCCATTTTTGTATTGCTGGGGTATGCTCCACAATTCGGACCGTAACCAATGCAAAATCTTTTAAGCCAAAACATGTAGGCTTATCATTTACACAAAATCATATCTCATGCAATTTTTTTATCATTACTGACACGAAACAACAATATGTAATGGACCATCTGTCCCTTAGATTTGTAATATTCTGGAATATGCCTTACATCACCAAAACTACTTTTAAAGTCATTATAATTTTTTTCATTCGGTAAAACATTTCTAAAATCATTATACATTAGTCATTCTTGCTCTCTCAAAAATCTTTGGATGAAAAAGATCCTAACTCATCCATACATGTTGTAGTGAGATTATAGAACTTACGAGATATTTCTCTTGCACAAGTTGGCAAGGATAGATGATCATCATCCTCATCTCCAGCATCTCGGCTATCTCCACTTGTGGACTCGTTTCCACTGCACTCTTCACAAGACTCAACCTCATCAAGACTCTCCTCATAGTTATCTATTGCATCCATCGTATCAGAATTCAAATCATACTTGGGTACTTCAACAACAATCTTTTTCCTCTTTGAACACCTTGAAACTTGAGATTGAGTCTTTATTTTCTTGTTTTTACAAGGCTTAGGAACATACTTTTTAACAAGATCACCTCTAATTTTAGTCATAATTTGAGTAAACCTATAATATTTAAGTAAATAAAAGTCTAACAAAGAGGGCGATGAAAAATACTGCTCTTCGATTTCGTGTAACAACACATGTAAATGAGAAAAAATAAGACCAACAAAAGTAAACAAATACAATGGAGAAAACAACAATTCACAACAAAAGCTAAAATTCAAAAATCAACAGGCGAGATAAACAGAAAATATTTTTTTTAAAAAAAGCAATCAATTGGGTCAAATATTTATATCAGAACAAAAAACATCGTTAGAGACCACAAATATTCATCCAAAACAACAACATGAAGAAAATTCATCCAGAAAAAGGGTTTATTAAAACTACTATGACAAAATAAAAAATCAAATACGGCATCCTAAACAAGAACATGAGGAAAAATATCCGAAAAAGAGTTTATTACACTGCTATAACAAAATAAATAACTAAATACGGCATCCTAAACAAGAACATGAATAAAATCATTCAGAAAAAGGGTCGATTACACTTCTATAACAAAATGAACAACGTAATACGGTTAAAATAACCAAAAACAACCATTAAACAAGAATAAACTTACCAAAGATGAAAATTTTGAACTTGGATAAGAAGAAAGAGATGAAGATTTGACGTTTAGGATGTGAAACGGTTGAAACATTTGCTTAATGGACGATGAAATGATTGAAACGTATGTGGAAGAGAAGCAATGATATGATTTTTCTGGTTTCTCTTGAAATGTTTGGAGAAGTGTATTGGGAAGAGAGGCGGGAGGCGTTGCTATGGTTACTGATTCTCTAGAATCAATGTATGGGGAAGAAGAAAAGCTAAGAAGAAGAAACGTCGAAACAGTCCCAAAAAGATGCTATTTTAATATATATATTTTAACATGTTAAATCAGATTATAATATAAACTAAAATTATTGGGATTATAATATATTTTATAAACATATATGTTTTTCCTTAGTTGTAAAAACACTAAATAAGTCCTTGACCCCACACTTACAAATATACCCCAAGTTTAAAAAAATCAAACAAACCCACGACTCCACAGTTTTGCGCTTTTTAAAAGCTCAATACTAGAAAATAAAGCAAAAATAAATCAATGTTTATAGAATGAATTAAGTTTTATTGGTGTCCCTAATACCAATTCTTCTCAACAAAGTTAACTAATTAAAAATTGATCGATGACACAAATGTAGTATTTGCTATAACTATCACAATTTTTACATTTAATTCATATTGAAATAATACACACACAAAAAATAATTCCTATGTTATTCGAATCAAAATCTAGAAAATAATAACTAAACTAAATTAAACAATTCAATATCATTTCATAATATATTCTCGGGACTATTTTTTGTTGTATGGGTAACCCAAGGACCTTTTCATAAACTCAACTTGTTTGGGTTCGAAAGTATGAGCTAGTAGTCCTCGTCATATTCATCCCTCTGCAAGTGAGAAAAATATATTGATCTTGATCAATAATCTTATTCTTTTAAAAAATCATTACTCAAATTGCAAAAAAAAATTAAATTTATTTTGTCAATTAAGAACTTATAATATATGTTACCTCCTCACATGTGAAAGTGAGGCCAATTTTGACGGATCCACAATTTTCATCGTCCTTATAAAGATCATATGTTGTTTCAACTTCTCCTTCGCGAAACACTTCCTCTAATGAAATTCTGTTTTTGATCACGGGATATAGAAAAGAAAAAAAATAAAAATAAAAAGAAGCATGCATTAGAGACTAGATTATTCGCAAAATAAAATCAATATTCTTGAAATAGAAAGGAAAGAGGGAGATAATTAATGTTGTTTCCCCAATGAAATCGTCATCTTGAAATGTATTTTCATCCATAACCTTGATGTGAACTTCGTCACAACCACGAGAAATAGTGAATAAGAAGGACTCATTCCACTCTGGGTCCTCTCCCTCGCCTATTATAAAAACAAAACTTATACATTTAAGATACGTATTTAATTAATTTATATGTATTGACAGTATCAACAAACTATTGTATTTATTGTTAAAAAAGTATTTGAAGTTTTTACATTCGATCCAATAATAATTACTACTAACCTGATGCAACACTGGATTTCTTTTCTTCAGTATGACATGTAATGACCACATATGGAATCATATCAGCTTTTTAAATGTAACAAAAAAAAGTAAAATAATTAGTTAACCTATAAGAGATGAAGGATATTAATAATAATGAGCGGATTTAGAATTTTGAATTTTTTTAAAATTATTTGTAAGATCCAAATCGATAACACTCGGAAAGTTAGATTTACTAGTATAAAGAAAGGGAGTTAATGAGGAAAATACTGAGCCAATTTTGGTCATCAAGGCCTCTTGTATGTCCAACATAAACTTCAAGTTGTCCGTAAGGCATAGTCCTTTATTTATTTATTTTTTCGCGATAAAACCAGAATAAGATAATAGACAAGTAAAAGAGATTTCTATACAAATCTTTTAATTGTTTTAATTTATGTACTTTATTAAGCTTTCTTAATTTATAGTTTACTAGTCTAATTACAAATACACACGTTTTATTTGTGATCCGAGAATATTTGGAGAAGTATTAGAGTACAACCAACTGGATGGATAAAATGCTCCGTCTTTTTCATTTTTTCATTTTTTAGTTATTTCGTGTAATATTTTTTATAAATACATTCTCTTATTAGAGTCTAATTTTTTCCACTAATTACTAGGAAGAAGTAGTGATCAATGGTCATCATTCCTGATTATTCAAATTGACATTCAATAATATTTTAATCTTTTTGTACTTTTATCATGTTATTGGATTATTCAATCACAAATCAGGTCTTGCCAAATTTAGAACAAGACACTCCTTCGATTATTCATGGAGGAGGACTAATTTGCATTGAAAACACATGAATATCATAGAAAACCCTAGGTTTGTAGGACTCATACAATGAAGAAATTAGGTTTCTTAGGACGCAATATTATGGCTGAATGGATATCTATTGATGAAATTCCACATACCTGAAATGAAGAACCATAGCTTAAATTCCTCGAATGGATACTTGAAGCTTGGAACCCTAGTTCTTGGTTGACAGGCAACTTAGAGAGTGGGGAAATTTGATTTGGGTTTTGGTCTACTAAGAACCCCTTAATTCAACATTCAAAAAAAGAGTCCAAAACAACGCAATATAATAGTTAAAAGAGATCAAAATGACCCTAACTTAAAATATGTCGGAGGTCATCTACAAACACCTTCTACGGACCATATAACAGTCTACAAACTTTAAAAGTGGTTGTAAAAGACAGTGTCTTCCTGAGTTTATGTGGTCTCATTGTACGGACCAATCTACGACTTATCTGCTACCAATTATCCCATCATAGTCGTTGGTTCCTTACACGATCCATAAGTAGTAAGGAAATATTTGTAAACTTCAGTTTTTTGTATCTTCACAAGGTCTGATATAGAATTAGAAACTTTTGGGGTGTTATTGGACGCTAAATTAAAAAAATTGTTGACAATCATTGACTCAAAATGTCACATATGTAGTCCACATGTTGACACAAATCTTCCCAAACTTGGTGTTTCAATTTTCTTTTAACTACAACCTTTTGGACACTAGTACTTGAAAGGATAACAACTTTCACATGTGCTTTTACATGGTTAATCATGGGTATGATGAACCTATAGGAAATATAATGGTTATAACTAAGCTTCAATGTATGGAGTGTTATATTACTTTTTTTTCTTGGTAACATTCGTCCTCGAGTATGGATCATGGCCTAAAATTTAATAACTCCCAAGATCTTGAAAAACTTTTGCTAGAGATCTATTTTGATAAATTATCTATACAGTTTTTTTATACACCTGTAAAATATACTCTCTTCGTTTTAAAAAGAATGACCTAATTTGACTTGGAACAGAGTTTAAGAAAAGAAATAAGATTTTTTAAGCTTGTGCTTCTAAATTAAAGTTATGTCAAATGTACTTAACGCCCTTTCATCTTGTGGTCTTAAACATGACACGTGGAAAGTTAAAGTTAAAACGTTACAAAAAAAAAAGAAAGGAGACATTCTTTTTAAAACAAACAAAAAAGGAAATAGAGACATTCTTTTTGAAACCGAGGGAGTACAAATTTTTAATAAATAAAAGATAAATGTTTTGTATAGTTAATGAAACTTGTATTCATCTATAATAGATTAATACTCCCTCCGTCCAGAAATGTTTGTCATGTTGCGCTTATCGAAAGTCAATTTGATTAATTTTCAAAGGTAAATTATTAGATCACATTAATTCGATATTTTAAACCAAAAAAATAGATATTCTAAAACTATATGAAAAGTACTATAAATCACAATTTTTTTATATTAATATGATGAAAAAATTCATCTCAAAATGTTAGTCAAAATTTTTATAGTTTAACTCTAAAAATAGAAATCATGACAAATAATATCGGACGGAGGGATTATGATTTACACTTTAAGCTCAAGCAAGAGGCATCCTTGTGTAATGAAAATAACTTGTTTGTATACCTTATTTGGAGCTGTAACCTTACATGGAGCTTCTTGTCATAGTTTTAATTTAACATTAAGCTCAATAATTGAAGAAATCAGAATTTTCCATAAGTTAACTCAAATTAACTGAAATAAAGTTGTGATGTAACTAGTAAACTTCTTTTTATTTGTTAGGACATCATAGGAGGATAATTCTTTTATGTTTTTTCTATTAGAAGCTTTGATGGCGAAAAATTCACATTTATCTATTATTAATAAAATTATTCGCATTTTGCGTGATTATATAAAATATTTATAAAATGATAATATGAAATATATAATATTTAGGTTGGTATCAAATATATAGATAGTATTAATATTTCTCCTCGTTGATATCATAGATTATTTTTAAACAGATAAAATATATTTATTTATTTTGTATATGTATATAATAGAGTTAAATATTCACCGTGGTAAAGTAAATGGAATAAGAAATAATATTGTTGAAATACAATATACTGTATT